GGGGCAGGCAGGCAGCAGGGGGGTTTGTATGGGTCGAGAGTTCTGGGGTCTTGTCAGGGGGCGGGGAACAGTTGGATAGGCGTGGGAGTCCCAGGGGTCTTTCTGGGGGCGGGGGTGTGGATAAGGTTCGGGGCAGTCAGGGGACAGGGGTAGGGTTTTAGGGGGGCAGTCAGGGGACAAGGAACAGGGAGGCTTAGGTAGGGGATGAGGTCCTGGGGGGTAGGGGTCCCAGGAGGAGGTAGGGGACAAGGAGCAGGGAGGTTGGAGGTTCTAAGGGGAGCAGTCAGGGGGTGGGAAGTAGGAGGGAGTGGATGCGGGCAGGGCTAGGGCGAGGCTCCTTGGGTGCACACCCTAATGAAACGTGCTGTGCACGCCTATGGATGGCTTAAAGGCTCTGGCTCAGGGCGCCCGGACGTGCTCTCCGGCCTCTGGGAACTTTCTGTGGAATTCAACCTGTGAGTTTGCCTGTGAAGAAAGGTTTGTGTTGAAGGGATCAGACAGGCTGCAGTGCGGCGCTTCTGGAAAGTGGGATGGACAGCAGCCGGAATGCGAAGGTACCTTTCTTTATCACTGCCCTTCCCAGTACACAGGGCTCTCACTGCTTGTGTAGAGTGCTCCTATGGCATCCAAACTAACCGCTGATGTGCTCTCTGTATGTCTCAGCTGTGACGTGTGAAGCAGTGAACGGGCCTGAAAACGGCTTTGTGGAGTGTACCGCCCGTCATCCAGAATTCACCCACAACTCGGCCTGTGAGTTCCATTGTGAGGAGGGCTACCGATTAAGTGGATCACCCACGTTTCAGTGTACAGATCAGGGAGAATGGTCAGAGCCCTTCCCAAAGTGTGAAGGTAGGTCTTTGTCCTTTTTTAAATAATCCATTAATAATAATACAATGCCTAGCTCTCGAACAGCACTTCTTGTCAGTGGATCTCAAAGCACTTTCCAAAAGAAGTCAGTATCATTGTCCCCATTTTACAGATGTGGAAAATGAGGCACAGACAGGGGAAGTAATGGTCATGAGGAGCAGACCCCCAAGAAACAGGATAGCATACCACTAACATTGTGCGTTTAAAGGAGGGGCCAGGTTCCTTGCACCCACACATGCTTGACAAGTGAGAGGTCATCCCTAACTCTGGCCTTGATGAACAGTCTTTCATTAGAGCAGTCTTTAGGCAACTCTCTTGTACTGTGAGCTAAGAATTGGCATCATGGAACTCTATTTTGTCCCCACTCCTCCCTACGCCTACATGGCCCCCTACAAACCCCATTTCTTCTCTCAACTGACCAGTGCATCTCTGCTTTGTACTGTGCCCCTTGAGGAGTTACATCACATCCACCAGCACATCTGGCCAAGGATCAGACAGTGCGCCCTCAAAGCCTGCTAATGCTACTGATTTGCCAGCTTGAGGGGCCTCTTGAACCTGAACCCTCATGTCTGCCTGTGCAGCTTGACTGCTGTAGGCAAAAATTACCTGGGAACCTCTGCTGAGAACTGGCTTCCTGTGGTCCAGAGAGCCTGAACAGCCTCAGACTGAGGGGGTAGCTTGTCCATTATGGTAACCAGAAGATGACACTGCGGCAGATGCAACTCAGGAGAAAGATCTGCAGGGAATTTTTTTTTAAATGTGAAGTACATTTGCATTTGTAGGGGACATTTTTGATGGAATC